TTACCACTTTCTTTTATCTCATCCTGCTAGAGTAGAAGGAATAAATTGGGATAGTCGTTCTAAAAATCAGTTTCATAGTCTTTAAAAAAAATTTTTTTTTTTTAAAGGGGATTGAACCCAGTGGTGCTTAACCACTAAACTATGTCTCCAGTCCATTTTGTATTTTATTTTGAGACAGGGTATTGCTAAGTTGTTTAGGACCTCTCTAAGTTGCTGAGTCTGGCTTTGAACTTGAGATCCTCTTGCATTGGTCTCCTGAGCCACTGGGATTTCAGGTGTGTACCACCTTGCCTGGCTCCGGCCGTTTTTACATTTTATTTTGAGACAGATTCTAACTTAGCTGCCAAGGTTGGCCTTGAACTTGAGGTCCTCCTGCCTCAGCCTCCCAAGCCTCTGAGCTTACAGACATGTGCCACACATCCAGCTCAGTTTAGTAGTAGCATATGTTACAGATGGAGAGACAGTATGCATGAGTGGATTAATACATAGATAGATGAACAAGTGTATATACACTTGTATAAGTTTGTATTTATTTAACAATTATTATAACCCTATGACATAAATACTATTGCTGTTTTCATTTATCAGATGGAAAGAGCTGAGGCACTACAAAGTGTTATTGGTGGTTATCTCTGTAATAAGATTACATAAGGATAATAACTATTTCCTCTTTATTCTAATTTTTTTCATTTTGTAAATTTGTAACAGTTTTAAACAGGGAAAAATGGTAATAAATCTGTCTTGAAGTAAAGACTCACCATATTTATAGTTGTTGTATAAATTAGCATAATTGTTTTGAAAGCAAGAGAACTGTGTAACTTCTTTTGAATGGCCAAACTGCAGAAATGGAATTAATGAACCATTTAGAATGCCCAGATAAGGAATAATTTATTTTTCCTTTATTCTTTCCCAGAATATTTTGTCTCATGTTTAATAACATTACTTATAAGTAAAACCTATGATTAAAGGAGGTGAGAAACAGTCATCTAGGCTGGGAATAAGAGGTGAGGGCTGGAATTTCCATGGTATACATTAGATTCATTAAAATACCTAGAAGATTAGCAATTATTTTAAAAAATTAATATTGTATACCTATGTCTCACAGAACAAGTGGTTTAAAGCAATATTTTTTATTTCCACCACAGAAAGTACTATAATGCTTTTATCAAGTATCTATATGATTCTTTCCCCATTGAAAAAAATTTTAAACCTTAACTTTTTAAATTGTTTTTACTTCAAAATTATATTTTTGTCCAGTTATTTCTTAATTTTCCTAAAGCACTTTTAAATTTAGTCTAATAATTTATGATTCCCTAGTATTAGTATACACAACATAATTTTTATAAAGACACCTTTGTATCACATGATAGCTATTTTTTAAATGTGATCCTGTTTGGGGGGTACCAGGTATTAAACTCAGGGGCACTCAACCAGTGAGCCACATCCCCAGCCCTATTTTGTATTTTATTTAGAGACAGGGTCTCACTGAGTTGCTTAGTGCCTCACTTTTGCTGAGATTGGCTTTGAACTTGCAATCCACCTGCCTCAGCCTCCCTAGCTGCTGGGAGGGTATGCTCTTTTTAGATACCTGGAAGTATTTGTACTAAGTACCATATTCAGCCTTCTAATAAAATCACACCTACTTAGGTCCTTAAAAGGAAAAGAACAGCTAGTGCTGCTGAACCAGGGGAATCTGTTGTTCACTTTTAGAGGAGTTAATTGGAATATGTAAATATTTTCTTAATGTAATTGCTCTTGCCTTTACCTATTCCCAATTTGTCTTAAGAGTTGATGTTATGGGCACTGATTCTGCACACATTTGACTTTGCTACTAGCAAATTATTGTATATAGCTTGAGATATTTGCAGCACTTAAGAAAATATTTGGAACAGAATGAAATATGTGTTACTTTGTTTTAACATTAGGTCAGGATTTTTAAATTTTTAGTATCCAAAATATTACTGTATTTAATAATATTTGTCCTACTTACTAGACTACTTCTGAGTTAATATTAAAAACTAATTTGAAAGAGTTAACCATTTTTTTCTTCTTGTAAGTGTTCCAAGACCTCCATCTGAAACCATGGGTAGTACTGAACCCTATGTACACTATGATGTTTTTACCTATACATACAGATGTATGATAAAGTTAACTTATAATTTAGGCATAGAGATTAACAGCTAATAAAATAGAATAATGACAACAGTGTACATTAATAAAAGTTACATGAAGATTGTGTCTCTTTTAAGAGTCAAAACAGATTAATATTTTTAGATTGCAGTCAGCTGTAGGTAGCTGAAACCATGGATAGCAAAACTACAGATAATGGAGACTACTGTATCAGATGATAACTATTTGTAGGGTTCTTTTATAATGTATTGAAGCAAAAAATGGCTTAAGAATCATACACTGGAAAGAATAGAGTCAACCTCTGCAAATAGTTTTCAAAATGAAGATGGTATAAATTCAACAATAGTGCAGTTAAAGACAGAGGTAGTATTGTAAGATTGCCGCTTACAGTATGGCTATTAATTCAGAAAACCAATGAGAAGCGATGGGAAATTGAGAAAAGACAAAAAGACACATACAGAGAGAAAGCTGGAACCAGGTGGCACACTAACCTTTGATGGAGGAATAATGACCCAGAGCTAGCTCAGCACATTCATTGTATAGATTTTATCATCAAAAGATTATTTGTGGGTCTGGGGTTGTAGCTCATGGTGGCAGTGGGCTTACCTAGCATATGTGAGGCACTTGCTTCGATTCTTAGCACCACATAAAAATAAAAAATAAAATAAAGGCATCTATAACTACAAAAAAAAAAAAGGTTATTTGCAGGAAAGCAGACAGACTTTGAAGGTCACAGTGAAACTTGCGAGACATTGAGGTTATCTTGTTATGCCGAGAATTCTCTTTTCCTGGGAATTGGTGTCTGAGCTCAAGGTTCAGAGTGATATAGCTCTGTACCTTGGCATGGAGCCTTCTCAGGCTGGGCATCACCATAGCAACTGAGCCATCTTGATCTTCACCTTTACACAGGCAGTTTCCAGTGCAAAGGCAGCCATGGGGCAGTCAGAGGTCATGATTCAAATCATCACTCTCTACATAAGATGTTTTGGTGATTTATATCGAAAAACAAGCTGAAATATTTACTAATTAAGGGATGAGACCTGACGAGACAGTGAGGGAAAAAGCAAAAGGATTGTTGCTGTTTTGAAAAGGAGAGTGATTGGACCATTGTGGACCTTTATGTACTCCCTGAGTACTTCTAGGGGTCACTCACAGGAAGAGAGAAATGCTGTTATTCAACACTTCACAACTCTTTGGGAAGAATCATTTATTTTATTACTGTGAGTGGTGTGTGGAAGGGAAAAAAGTTCTAGGTAAGGCAGAGAATTTAGTTTGTGCTGTTATATAACAAAAACACTGTAGACTGGTGACTTAAACTGCAAACATTAATTTCTCATAGTTCTGAAAGCTGGTAGCCTGAGATCAGTTGAATTGTGAGAGTACCATCCTCACAACCTAATTCTCCTCAAAGGTCCCATCTCCAAATATTATAATATTGGGGCTAGAATTTTTGACATATGAATTTGGGAGGACACATTCATTCATTCACATGAGCAGGTATGAATATGTTATGACGAAGCCCACTATTATGTTAAACATAGTGCCCCAATAAAAAAGTTAATTTTTTTAAAAAGTTTCTTATGTGACCAACTTTGTTCCCCTTTTTTCCCAAGTCTGATAGCCATTGATGTTTTCCACTTTTACTTTGTTTGCCTTTTCTAGAAATATCATACAACTTCTTAGCCTAGTGTTTTTGAGGTTCATGGGTGTTGTCCTTTGTATTATTGAGGAGTAGTAGTCCAGTGTATGAGCATACACCACATTTTGTTTATCCATTAGCTAGTTGATGACCAAATTGTTTCAGTTTGAGACAGATGGAAATAGTGCTACTATGCATAGTCTTTTTGTGAACATGTTTTTCTCCCTCATGAGTAGAGAGCTAGAAGTGAATTGCTGAGCTGCGTAACTTCTTTTAGAAACAGCCAAACTATTTCAAAAATGACTGTACAATTTATATTCCGGCCATTATTGTATAAAGGTTCTGATTTCTTCACATCTTCACCAATGCTTGATGTCAATCTTTCTGACTATAACCATTCTTTTGGGTATATTGTTTAGTTTTAATGTCATTTCACTAATGATGAATGATATCCCTGAAAGTCCACATTACTTTTAATCAAGAGATATTACTGTAGCTTGAAACAGTTCTTGGGATTCTTATTCAGAATTTGTTAGATGAGTTACCAACCATATAAAGGAAATACATTTTTACCATTTATTGTTGGATATCTTGCTTTAATTCTTGTTTCTTTGAATACTTAAATATATAATGAGGATATGTTACTTTTTATATATCTGTTAGACATTTAAAGATGGAAGTTAGGTTTTTATTTGTATTGAATCTGAAGTTCAAAAGGCTGAGGGTGAAGTTTGTGAGTTGTCAAATCATAATTAAAGCCACAAGAGTGGACATGATCACCTAACAGGTTGAGTAGAAGCCTGACAATTTGTAGAAGAAAAACTTGAGTGAATCCAATAAAACATTTGAGGGGCTACCCTAAGCCACAAATCTAGGAGGTCCTCGGTGAAGCACGTTAAGAATACTGTTGATTAACAATTTATTCGTGGCTACCTGCCTGCATAGGTTAACTTTTACATTCCTTTTTATTGATTTAAAGAGAACAAGTGTATTTTATAGAAAACTAAATCTTCACGAGGTCAGTAATGCCCTGTACTGTTTTTTCTTTTGAATCATTTGAGTATTATTTATTTTTTCCAGAGTAATATGATTTTTAATCATTAAACATCCTAGTGAGGTTTTACTAATTAATGCCCAGTTTGGTATATTATTCTGATTCTCTTATATATATTGCAAATATTATTGATTTTATAAAAGTCACACCAAATATGTTATTTTCTTTTATTTCTAGGCAAATATTGTGGTCTGGGGTTGCAAATGAACCATTCAATTGAATCAAAAAGCAATGAAATTACAGTGCTGTTCATGAGTGGAATTCATATTTCTGGACGAGGATTTTTGGCTTCATATTCAGTTATCGATAAACAAGGTAATTTTCATCTTATACAATGGTTCCCAAATTTTGCAGTTTCTGACAACAAAAAAGAAATGTTTCTCTTAGTTCCTGTTATCTGAAATTGGAATAGAATAGAAAGACTGAATAGTCAATAATATTTATACAAATTTGACAAAGTTAAATCAGTTTCAGAATTCCAGAAAAATAAGTGTCTTACCTTTTTCACCAAGTCCACATACTTCCTTTTCCTTAATAGATGAAATACTAATTTTTCACTTTTATAAGATTAAAACACAAACTTCAATAACTGTTTTTATACCTGTGAATTATTGAGATGTACCATTTTCAATTTAAGTCTCTATTACCCATGGTTGATGACTTCATATTTCTGTGTTAAAGACCCTGTTACTGTTTTTTGCAAAGAATAGGCAGGTCCTCCCACCACTAGGAGTACTCTGGTAAGTGCTGAGTTATTTTCTGAATTGTTAATTTTAGGATGCGAAGGGGAAAGAATTAAAAGCAAGGCTATTAAATAGAATAGAATAAAAAATTTGCCTGAATCTCTAAGATAAAATGGAAGTCATGCATGAAATTCCTGATGTGTTTTGGCTATTATGGCTTGCATTTATTCCCCTTTGCTATTAGGGGTACCATCATGAGAAAGTTTAAGAAGTATTTCTAGTACAAGGACATATCAAAACAATCATTTAAATCAGAAAATAGATGATTATTTTTACATTTGACACTGAATTAACCTAAGTTGATAGTTTAAAATAAAAATCAGCTTCATATTGTATATAAACATGAGACAATTATTAAGGGCCTTCTAGGTGTGAGTATATTGAATACTGGGAATGACTGAGTATAGAGAACCTGTTTCTCTTTTGCAGTGGTAGGTATTTGCACTGTATGTCTCATTAAGAGTTTCATTTAGAACATGATAGAGGCTACTCTATTTGAAGAAGAATCTGCATTCTCTTAATTCATAATTCATAATCAGTGGGACAAGGTGTGAAGGCTTATTTCTCAGAGAAAATAAGAAAACTTGTTAGAATGGAACATGGAAGGAAAATAAGTGGAAACATTATGCTAGATGAATGATTAATGTTTTGACAAAGATAGGAAAACTAAGGTAATAGTGATGTTATGGAAGGATACCAAGTGTCCCTGAAATCAAAACCTGTCTCAGCCACTTGCTAGCCTGCTGATTTGGCAAGTTATTTCACCACAGGGTCTCATATATCCGTGAATGTGTCAGTTGTGAGGACTAAGTCTAATCAGACATATATAGTGTCTGCAGGCACACAGCATGGTAGGCACACACGGTGGTAGTTTCCCTCATGCACCATTGTAAGCACACGCAGTGCATTCTTCCCCACCCCATTGTCTACAGGGAAATTTAGAGAACAGAGTGACATGATAATAGTCACAGTTCTTTCAGTTTTACTCCTTGAAAGTCTTAGGTTGATGGGTGAGAAGATTAAAAAATATGAATGATTTGCTTCATATTCTTAAGTTTCTTGGTCTTAGTAGTGGGTTAGATATTTTGATTCATATTTTCCCCATTCTTGTTATTTATCAAGATGATTATTTCTAGAAAATAAATAACATCTCTTTCTTTTTTCTTTTTTTTTTTTTTTTTTAAGCTGTTACATTAGACATTTATATATGGAGTTTTTGGCCCACAGAGACCTGAATGGCCTGCATTAAAAAATTGACAGTGCTCTCAGATAACAGGATCAGTATGTTGAAGACTTACAGATCCTTTCTGCCAAACATAAATAGCTATGCTGCTATATTTCAGGTTTTTAATCAGGAACTTCTTGATAGTAATACTTTCCGAAGTGATAATCATCTTGGGAAATCCTCATTTCACAACTGTCTCCTGAAGTCTTAATTTTTTGCTTATCCTATCCCATTCATCAAACATTTGTTTCATTTGAACATAAATAAATTGGCTAAACTATCTTTCTAGAGAACACTGGTTGAATTCTTATTACTTCTTGGGTGGCCTTTCAGTCACAATTTCTTGTAATGACTCATGTATTTTGAAGGCTGATTGGCTTTGTTTGAGCTCCCCGGTCCCCCCCCCCCCCCCCCTTCAGGAAACATAGCTACCACAATGAATTCCGTGAATATTTTCAAGTAACATGTCCCTCACTTAGCAATCTACTTGAAGATTGAAGAGTATTTGAGACTAAAAGAGTGTGAACAATCTTGCTTCAAAAGCTACTTATTTGTTGTACACTCCAGCAAAGACTCATTAATGCTACATGGTATGTGCTGTTGATAGAGTCACAGTTTTATCCAAGTAGACTAATGTTTGTTACTTTGCACAAGACTCCTTTGCAAGATTGTATTCTCTTATTTCCTGTTTATGCTTCCTACTGTGGAAACAGCAGTATTTAAGACATACACCATCATGCCTTCATAGGGCTTACAACTGATTGCTAGTTATGGTTATGATAAGTATAAATGATAGGAGGCCAGAGGGGTTTAGGGGATGGAAAATTGATAAAGAGCTGAGCTTTTCTGAGGAAGCTACTTTAGCTTAGAACTGAAGGATTCATTGGAAATTCCAGGCAGACAAGGAAGAACATTCTAGGGAAAAGAACAGTAGATGCAAAGACCTGATGGTAGGAAGCAGCTTTGGAGGAATTGCGGGGAAAAGCCCTTGTGGCAGGAGTGGAGTGAGTGGAGGAGTAGATCTTGCTTATAGTGTCATATAGAAAATAGAAGGATTAGAGCTTTTTCCCAAGAGTGCATAGAAATTGATAAAGCAGAGTAGTGATATGACTTGGTTTACATTTTTGTTTTTATAATTTTCCTTTCTCTGTGAAGAGTAGATCAAAGAGAAGAATAATATAGGAAGATCAATTAAATGGCTATTAGAAGAGACCAGATAAGAGATGATCGAAGTAAGAGGTTGTCTTATGAACAAAATACAGAATTATACCAGTTTTTAAAGATATTGCAACTGAGCATATCTTCTACAGGGAAGAATAGTCCCCTTTGAATTAGGATTCATCTTCTTTGAGGTTTTTTGTTTGTTTGTTTGTTTATTTATTTTAGCAATTTGAGTTATAATAAAAGACTTTGGACAGAAGGACACCTTCTTGAATGAAACTCAGAACTACTGTGGTGCCTTGTCATGTCTTGGGCACTGTCCTTAGTGTCCTCTTCTAATTCTGTTTTGTATGCTTTTTCTTATACTTTTTAAATAGTATGTCTAGTTTTATAAAACTTTCTTTTTTTCTGTGTTATTTTTAATTATCTTTGAGCAGGAGTTTATAGCCTTTTTCTTTACCAGTTTTGCTGAGAAGTAGAATCGACCAGAATAGAATAGACCAGAATTCACTAGTTTATCTACCAGTAAAAGAAAAAATTTCTATTTCCCATTGGGTAGCAAGGAAAGAGTCATAAAAGTATGAGTCAACACTTCCAATAAATATGAGGATTAGTATTTCTAATCCCAAATGGGTATAATCCCATGAAATTTTAACTAGACTTTCTGAAAAATTAAAGATTTGTGTGGACCTTTGAGGGATCCTGAACATTCATATTAACAGCCACTGTTAAGATGTTCTATGTAGAGAAACTCCCAAGTTATTACTGGTCTTAACTGTAAGAGGCAAAGTCAACCACTCAGAGGTCCAAACTTGGTAGCTCAGACCTTTGTATCTAGTTTGATAATAACTACTACTACTTTTTCATTCTTAAAAAAACAAAAACAAACTCTTAAAAACAGCATTTACCATTAGACTCAAAGTTATAGATGTGGGATCTGAATTTCTGTTTTTTAATCTCTTCAATGATGGCCAATTTCTAGGAGCTCAACATTTCTAGGAGGATTCTGGGAAATGTTTTTTTAAAGTTATTTTATAGAACAGTGAATTTAGGAGACATGTCTGCATTTGCATTGAAAGGCTCAAGTCTTCAAGGCAGCATTTTATTTGAATGTGGCCATATTGGGTTGTTATGTGTGTTTGTATGCACAATTGTAAAGTGGTTATTCTGGAATTCTTTGTAGAATATGGAACCATCACTTTAAGAGTAACGTTCAACCTCATTACTTTAGAATTCACTTATCTAAAAATTTGTAATGGTCATTATAAAGCGTACCTTTTTTTTTTTCTTTTTTTCTGGAGGAAAATAGCAAATAGTTTAAATTTTTCTGTGAAACAAAATGACCCAGTGTAGATACTAACATTCTTCCTGATTGGAACTCATAAGCACTTGTCCATTCATTGCCTCTGCCTCAGAGAGTCTGATAACAATGTGCCTAAGACTTGTCAACAGTCGAGCCTGAAAAATATTCCCATTTGACAGGGTTATTGTCGCCATATGATAGATTATTTTTAGAATTAATGGTAGTGATATAAAAATCTTGATTGCTGCATTCTTTAACTTTTTTTTTTGCAAATGTTTTCCATTTCTTCCATCTTACATCAGATTACATAAACTGATAAATGAAACAGGCAGAATAAAGAACTCCTTTCTAATAGAGTTCAAATTTCTGTAACTGATTGTCCCCCCAATACCCCTCAACCCACATGGAATGTTTTTGGTTTTGAAAACAGAGTGTGAATTTTTTAGATTGCTGCCTTAACTATGCAATAATTTTATATAGTCTGTTTTCTTTAGAGTGTTACTCTTAGCCAGATTTCTATTTGTGATTTTTATTGTGGGTTTCAAACATTTTAAAACTCTGAAACAAACTCATTTTAGTAAGATCTTATTAATGAAATTTTAGTTTGCATTCATATTTTTTTAATATTTATTTTTTAATTGTAGTTGGACACAATACCTTTGTTTTATTTATTTATTTTTATGTGGTGCTGAGGATCGAACCCAGGGCCTCTCACATACTAGGCGAGCACTCTACGGCTGAGCCACAAGCCCAACCCTGTGTTCATATCTTTATATCATCATTTACAGGAAAATGAAGACTGAATATGCATAATGTTTGTGTATATAATATAAAATACCAAAAATAACCATTTTAGTGTTAATTTATAAAATGAAGGTGTTTA